CGGGGGCAGTGGAGGGAGGGAGGGGGCGGGGCAGGAGGCGCTGGGGGCGGGGCAGGGGCAGCTGGGCTCCAGCCGGGGTGGGGGGCGTGGCCGGCCTGTGTCTGTCTGTCCCGCCCGCTCCCCGAAAGTGAAAGTGGAAGCGCGGGGGGGCGGGTTGGGTATTTCCATCCCTGCCTCGCCAGCCGCCATGACTTCGCTCGCCCCCGTGGGGGCCCTGGCCCTGCTCCTGCCCGGTGAGTGGGGGGGGGGCTCCCGGAGCGACCCCCCCCATTCTCTGTCCGTCTGTCCACAGGGCACCCCTCCCCCCCGCAAGGGCAAACTGACCCGCCCCCGGACACAGCTCTCCCCGCCCAGGGACCGTGAACCCCCCTCCCCGTTCTGGGACCCTGAACCCCCCCCCAGAGACATGGCTGCTCCCCCCCCCCCGCGACACGGTTCTTTCCCAGTCCTGGCCTTCAACTCCCCCCCCCCCCCCATGACCACATGTCCCGGTTTCATAGGGACAGTCCCGATATTTGGGGCTTTTTCTTATATAGGCGCCTATTACTCCCCACCCCCCCCCCGATGTTTTACACTTGCTGCCTGTCCCCCGTTGCCCCTGAGCTGCGGGGGGCTGTGCCCCACAGGGTGTACGGGAGGAGGGGGGTGATGGGGCTGCTCAGGGCCTGGGTGGGATGTGGAGGCACCTGCTGGTTATTGGGCAGGGGAGAAATCAGACCCGAGGGGAGGGAGCGTCTCTCGAGGGTCCTGCCCTGGGGGAGGGGGACAATCTGGGGCAATCCGGTGTCCCAGGGAGATTTGGGGGTCCGTGTGTCCCCACTAACCCCCTGGTCCCGGCCCCTAGGGTTCGCTCTGTGTCTGGCTGCGGCGGGGCCCCCCCGGCTGAACTGCTGGTTCGTGGAGGAGGCCGGGGGGGGCGTGGGGGTGATGCCGAGCTCCGTGACCCAGCGCCGGGCGCTGCTGCTGCTGCGGGGGGTGAGACGGGGGCACCCTGAGACGGAGCCCGAGCTGCCCCCCGACCTGGAGCCAGGCATGGTTTTTGACATCGCTGGTAGGTCCTTCCCCCTTCCCCCCCAGTCTCCCACACCCTGCTTCTCCAGTGCCTGCCCCCACTACCACCCTGCTGCCTGCCCCCCAGGACTACCCCTACATCCCACCTGCCCCCAGTGTTACCCCACCTGTTCACCACACCCTGCTTCTCCCCTCTGCTCCCCCATCCCGCTTCTTACAGCCCCCTCCTTTCCCCATCCTCCCCAAGTGCCCCCCCACTCCCCTCTCTGGCACGTCCCTCATTCGCCTTCCCGTGCCCCACAACTGCCCCCCCCCCGTCTCGCTCTCCCCAGATTCCGGGGGGCCCTGCGTTGTATCCCCCTCCTTGCAAGGGTGGGCATTGGGGTGTCCATGTCTCTTCCCCCCGATTCCTTTCTCCCCTCCAGACCCTGCAGGGGCCCTGCACCGTGTCCCCCTCCCAGCAGGGGGGCACCCCAAGGAGGGGGAGCTACCATCCTGTGAGATCAACGCCTACACGCCACAGGAGGCCCACGTGCCCTGGGCGGCCGGCCTGACCCCCGAGCACCGCAGCCCCCTGGGCCTGGGGGGCCCCTGGTTCATCAGCAGCATCCAGGCCTCAACCAGGGGCTACGGGGTCAGCACTGTCCTCAAGAGCGAGGAGGCGGCAACGTCCCAGCAACCGGCAGTCACCATGGCAACTGGTAACCAGGGCACCTGAGAATGTAGGGTGGGAGCGGCCTCCCCCCAAAACCCTGCTGTGGGAACCCCCTCTCTCCCCGGGGCCCCGAGCTCCTTCCCTTGCCCCCACATCCTGCTGTGCTGCTCACAGCACTACCCCTCCCGGGGCACTGTCCATGTGGTGCTCACAGCCCTGCCCTCCTCCAAGGCACTGTTCTTCATGGTGCTCACAGCCCTGCCTTGTGCCACTGTTCCCGTAGTGCTCAAAGCACTACCTCTGAGGCATCATGCTCACAACCCTGGCCCTCCCTCCGTGGCACTGCTCCCATGGCGCTCACAGCAGTAACCCCCCACCCCGGGGCACTGTCCATGTGGTGCTCACAACCCTGCCACTCCCTCCGTGGCACTGCTCCCATGGTGCTCACAGCAGTAACCCCCCACCCCCGTAGCACTGTCCCTGTGGTGCTCACAGCAGTAACCCCTTCATCTCTCCCCCCCTCAGCGGTGTTGTCCGTGTTCTCCCGCACCCCGCACCTGCACTCCCGCCTGGGCCGGGACGTGCTGCTGGACTGTGGCTTCACGGCACCATCCGGCCCCTTCTCGGTGGAGTGGCGGTACCAGTACCGGGGTGCTGGGCGCGTGGTGCTGGCCTATGACGGGGTGTCAGGCCGGGCCCACGTGGCCGAGGAGGGGGCGCAGCTGTTCCTGGAGGAGGGGAGGGCAGGCGCAGACACCAACGTCTCGCTGCGACTGCCCCGGGTCGGGGTGCGGCACGAAGGAACCTACATCTGCACCATCTACCTGCCCCACCTCCACGCCCAGCAGGCCCTGGAGCTGCGTATCACTGGTGAGTCTGGGGGCCCCCCCCTGAGCTCCTGCCTCTGCTCCCAGCCTGGGGGGACATGGATATGAGATGATCTTTGCACCCCACAGGTATCTTCCCCCCACCCCAGGCTAGTGATACACGACTGATTCTGGGGAGGACCCCTGAACTGATGCTCCCACAGTCTGGGCTGTGAACCCCAATATTTACCCCCTGAATTGGAGGGGTCCCAGAGTTCCCCACATTGAGCCAGCGCCCCCTAGAAACAACAGACTTTGGGGACGCTTAGCTGGGCTATACAGTGCTGTATGGGACTGGTCTCTAATCCCTCCTTCCTCTCAGAGCCCCAGGTGGTGGCACTGTACCCCATGCCCCCAGGAGATGAGGGAGGCCAGACTAGGTCATAACTCATCTCTTCCTCTGAACCCGCTTCCCCCCACTCCCAAGGTGATGCTGCACCCCATCTTCTGTCTGTGCCTCCCAGGGGAGGAGGGACGCTGGTTGGTCTGTACAGGCCGGTATGGGACCAGTCTCTAACCCTCTCTCCCCTCAGAGCCCCCCGTGGTGACGCTGCGCCCTGACCCCCTATCGGTGGCCCCCGGGGCACCAGCCGAGCTGGTCTGTGAGATCTCTGGCTATTACCCGTTGGACGTGACGGTGAGCTGGCTGCGCCGGGGCCCCGGGGAGGCAGGGGGCGACCTGCTGGAGTACGTGACTGAGACCTGGGAGTCAGGGCACCGGCGTGGCCCCGACGGCACCTACAGCCTGAGCAGCTTCGCCCGCCTGGCGCCCGTCCAGCCCCGCGACCACGGAGCCACCTACAGCTGCCACGTGACCCACACCGCCCTGGCCACCCCTGCCAGGAGGAGCGTCCAGCTCCGCGTAGCAGGTGAGGACAGCGGCGGGACAGGGCAGGGGGCAATGGGAGAGGAGTGCAGGGATGGGAGGGCTCGGGAGAGTGCGGGGGCGGACGGGAGAAAGGGGAGGGGTGCCATGGGGGGAGGATCTGGGGAGGGGGTATGGAGTGGGGGGGGCGGAGGGGAGAAAGGGGAGGGGTAACACAGGGGTGTGGGGCAGGAAGAGGAAGGAGGGAATGGGGAGTGTCTCTTGGTCTCATCCCCCCTCTGCCCCAGGTGCCACGGGCCCCTCCCTGGAGGACGCCATTGGGATGTTCCTAGCTGCGTTCCTGCTCTATGGGCTCTTCCGCCTCATCGGAAACAAAGGTATGTGCCCCCCCCCGTGTCACTCCCTCCCCCCACTGCCTCTCGTGTCACCCCCATACACCCCGATCCCCAGTGCCTCCTCCGGGATAAGGGTAGGTGCTGCCCTGCCACCATTCACCCCAGTGCCTCCCATACAGCCCCCAACCTTCCCACTGCCCCCATATGCCCTCCCAGTCCCTATCCCCCCATACCACCCTCCATTGCACCCCCAACCATCCAGCCTCCTCTGCAACACCCCTTCATACTGCCACCCCAAACACCCCTCAACCCCCAGGTACCTCCCAACCAGCCCACTGCCTCCCAGGCCACACCTGTTCCCCTTCCCCACATCTCCTCAGGAAGGATATGTACCCCCAGATCTCCGCTGCCCCTGCTCCCCTTGGGCCCGCTGACCTCCCCCTGTATCCTCATGGACAGGGCTATATACCACCCACACACACTCCTGTTCAGGGGAGCCGGGGTCTCACTCCTCTGTCTCGGTTCCTTTTTCAGTCTGTCCATCCGGCGCTGAAGAGAAAAGCAAGGTAAATACCCCCCCACACCCCACCAGTGCTCCTGCCCTGCCCCCCCACAGCGCCCCCTGCTGGGAGAGGCTGGGGCTGGAGTACCTGGGGTGATTCTTACCTGACTCTCTTCTCCCCACAGAAATCAGAGTGAGACGTGCTCAGGGAAGCTGAGATTTTGGGGGCTGATCTGTGACCCCCAGAATAAGATTGTGAACCTCAGGACAGGAACCAGAGTTGGGGGGGCTTAATGGTCAATAAAGGGTTAACTTCCTCTCCAGTCCCCCTGCCCTCCGCCTCCCCTGCTGCTTCCCCACCCCCTTTTGGGCTGGTCTCCCCACAGCACCCGCCTCCCCTGCTGCCAGGGTCCCTCCGCCTGAGCCCCCCACCCCCATCTGTGCTCCCCCTGCCTCCTGCCTCTCCTGGGGGGTCGGGCAAGTGGCCTGTTTAAGGTGGGGGGGCTGTTGGTCTGCACTGCTATACGGGGGCTTTGGCCCCAGAAATAAAAATGTTTTGCTGTGACCACCTAACTCCTGAATGGGTGTCGTAATCTCTCAACACCCCTCCCCGGAGCCCCCCCCACAGAGGTCTCCTCTCCCCACCGAGCCCCACATGCCCTGCCCAAACTGCCTCCCCCAGTGCCCCCATCTCCTTCTGCCTCAGCAGGAGATCTCCCCCATCCCTGGGACCCTCCTAGCCCGGGCCAGTTGGGTTCAGAGAGTCGCCTCTCCCTAAGAGCCGGGGCACACAGTCCCAAGGCTTAATGCCCAGTAGCAGAGAGTTCCACAGGCTCCCTCCATCCTTGCTACCCTTGGTTGCTCCCACTCCTCCCCCTTATGTTACGGTGTCCTGTATGTCCTGGTCTTTACTTCCCAGCTCTCCTCACTCTCTAAGCATTGCCCAGGCTGGGTTCATACCCAGCCGGCAGGCACTGGAGGGGGGACTTCCTGGCCGGAGGGAGGCAGGAAGGCAGTCCCCATTGTTCAGCTTCCTCCCTGTGGAGAGAGGAGAGAATATAGGGACCAGAGGTTCCAGACCCCAGTAGAGGGGGGAAATATATGGACTGGAGAGGTGGGAAACACAGAACTGGATGAGGGGGAGGAATGTAGAGACCGGAGAGCTGGAAAACATGGATCCAGCTCCCAAGGGGAGTGGGAGAATATACAAACACGGGGGGGAGGGGGAGTATATATACAGACTGGAGCACTGGGAAACTTGGAGCTGGATCCCAGGGGGAAGAATATACAGACTGGAGCACTGGGAAGCATGGAGCCGGATCCCGAGAGGAATATGAGGAGTGGAGAACTGGTAACACAGAGCTGGATCCCGGGGGAGCGGGAAATTACAAAACGGAGATCCGGGAAACATGCAGCCATGGGACAGAGCCACATAGCGCGTCTGTCCAGCCAGGTTCTTGGTCTCTCTGGCCTTGGCTCTGTTCCCAGGTGGATCCGGTCTGGGCTTTAACTCTCCCCAGTCCTCTGGCTCCTCTCTGGGCCTTGCAGCTCTCTGCTCCCTGGCTCTGCTCCGGGTTTCATGTCACTTCCTTTCCAGGCTGGTTCCACTCCAGGATTTCCATCTCCCCAGTAGGCTCTGCTCCGGGTTTCATGTCACTTCCTTTCCAGGCTGGTTCCACTCCAGGATTTCCATCTCCCCAGTAGGCTCTGCTCCGGGCTGTG